GGGGAAGTGAGCTGAGGGCGGGGTGGAGAGCTGCAGCGCGGGGCCCTGTTTGCGCAGGGCCCAATTCAGCCAAATCGGCTGAATCGGCCTAAAGCTGGCCCTGCCCTGCACACCTGCTTCAATGAGGGGGGCAGGGAGCAGCTGGGACCCACACATGTGCACTCACCCCCAGGGAGTGGCGGGGACCCACACATGTGAAACGGAGCTCATTTCTAGTTCAGGCCCATCTTTTTAAAAAAGAACTTTAGGTAGGGTTAACATACATCCGTATTTTCCTGGACATGTCAGGCTTTTTGGTTCTTAAATCGCCATCCGGGAGAAATTTTTAAATTTTAAATTTTAAAAATTCCTCCCGGGAAAATACGGACGTAACCCTATTGGTACAAAAAATACATACTGTGGCACATCCCTTAAATCAGAACTTTTTATAGGGAACCAGTTGTTAAGATTTTGGCAGCTCATCACTGGGCAAGAGTACTGTTATCTGAGTAAAGATCTCAGATTGTGATCCTATAAGTGGAAAAGCGGCTGAGATCCATGCATGAGGTCACTCATCAGCAGGGAGTGCAGGCAAATTTGCAGTGTAGTTGATCAGTTCCATTTTTATCAATGCTAGTTCCATCCACACCAAATTGCTTGTCCGTGCCTGGGCTGTAGCAGGATGAATATTTACTGTGTATACTAGTCTAGTTCCATGCGCCTGATTCTGGGATCTAGCTATAATTTTATAAAAACACTTTGAAGGCTACTGATTAAAAGCGTTATATAAGAGTTAGGTATTATTGTTATTGTAATCCAACTATTTTTGTTGCTACTTTAGGCTGATTTGGGTGCAATATTTTGCCAAAGAAACAATGGCTGCTATATCTCTATTGCACTCAGCAGGCAGTTGCTGGGATTAAACTCGATTCCTTACTCATGCAAACAAGCAAAATGTAATAACGCCACCATCTTATTATTCTTTTCCCTTTCCATCTCAAAATTCTCAAGTATGAATTGCATATGCTCTCTCCTACTCTATTGATTTAGTAATAAATGCAGCAATGGCACGTTGTGAAGAATGTCACAGAATCATCAGTAAGAGAGGTGGGACAGATCTTCATTCTCTGCTGCTACCCTAGCTGTAGTATGTGGGATTGCCTCTACTGAATATGCTCAAGTGCTCTGCCCAGACTGTCTGCAAGGTCGAAGCACCCTTGGTGGTGTGATTACACAATCAGTCCTAGTTGGATTTATTAGTCTCATAGAAATGGCTGTAAATGTACAGTTTTCAGGGAGATGGGCACAACAGGCCAGATTCTGCCACCTTTACTCCTGTTGAGGAGTACCTTAATGTGAGTGGTCCCATTAAAATAAACAATACTGAACAAACCTTTGTACTTATAGGGTGAGATTTTCAACAGCCTCACTCTGCTGCCAATACTCAAGAGTAAAGCCGCTCACTGGCTTTAATGGGAGCAGGGCTAAGCCAACACGAACTGCTTTTGAAAATCCCACCTGCAGAGTCCCCAAACACCTGCATTCTTGCAGGCCAGAGTCTGTGGCTTGTCCCAGCCTGGCTCGCTTATGCTCACAGACAAGCACATAAGCCTGTTGCCTCTACAAGTGAAAAGATCAGTTCACTTTAAAACATGCCTATGAAAGCTTCCCCTGTGTGACAGTGGAGCAGTGGAGACAGGAACACCAAACGATCTCAGCAGTGATTTCTTAATGCTGGAGAAGTTACAAGGTTTGGTAAACACAACAGAAGAGTAGCAACAACAAAATAAATAAATACAAAAAAAAAATTCACCAATGCTCTGGTGGCCCAAGTAGAGATGGCATTGTACCAGCTCCCTCTGAGGCAATACATCATGAGAAATGTTTAGAGCTTCCCTCCCCTTGCAAAGATGTTCTCCAGCCAAATAAAGTCAAGAATTTGTTTCTCTTTTTTGAGTCAGTGTGATATGGGGGGGTGGAGGGGATGGTTGAGGGAGGGAAGCAAAAGCATTTCTGAGACCACATTACTTGGGCAAGAGACATAGATGACGGTATTTCTGCCATTTATTTTAAACCACCCTAAAACATTGGCTTCTGTCTGAACATTTCACAAAAGCAGAACTTACTCCCAAGCAGTTAAATACAGGGTGAAAGGAAACTGCTGCTCTTGGAAAGGGTTGCTTGGTGCAAAATGTAAATCACTTAAGTTTTTATCTTTTAAACAAATATTTATTTTAACTAAACAAATCACTGCAGCAATGTTATTTATGAGGGTGTTATCAGAACCAAACAGAGAAAGAGCATGACATTCCTTTATCTGTCGTCTAATTGTTACACTGTGCAGGGTGGGGAGAAACTGCCTGAGCTCTAAGGTGGTTATTCTCCCATCAAAGGGCTGTGAGGCTTGACTACTGTACCGCACTTGATATTTCAGCACAAGAGTGGGAAGGTCAATGTGTTCATACTTGACTATAAACACTGGAAGTCTGGGTGCTTTATAGCTGAAGAAACTAAAGTCAGTGTGGGCACTGGATGGCTCCAGACCATGTACGTGGGAAAGGGAGCTTTTCACATGAGGTCACCAGTTAATATATCGCCCAGGTTGGTAGTGAATGAAAGCTGTTACCATCTGAAAAGTGACTTGTATGAAATTAGTCTAGAGAAGTCTGTCCAGTCCCTAGCAGAAATGTGCCCGTAGCTCAAAACCAACCATCGTATTGACAGCTTCAGCAGAGAAGGCGAGGACAGAATGGGTCACAAACACTGAATTCCCATCTCTCCCCTGGAGTGGCTGGGCATGGAAGCACATTGGTGGAATGGTACAGAGAGCTCGGGCTGCCCTTTTCCTCACTGCACCTGCTCTGAGCATAGGCACCGACTGTGTGGGTGCTCTGGGGCTGGAGCACCCATGGGGAAAAATTAGCGGGTGCTCCGCACCCACCAGCAGCCAAGCTCCCCCCGCCTCTTCCCTTGAGCACGCCGCATTCCTGCCCTCCCCCTCTCTCCCAGCACTTCTGCCCACCGCCAAACAGCTGTTTGGCATCGCTCCAGGAGGGAGGGGGAGAAGCGGGGACACAGCATGCTCAAAGGGCCAGGGTGGGGACTTGGGGAAGGGGGTGAAATGGGGGTGGTGTGGAGGTGGAGCAGGGGTGAGAAGAGGCAGGGCGGACTTGGAGTCTTGCGGTCTTGGGGGAATGAGTGGAGTGGGGGCGGGGCCAGGGGCAAAGGGCGGGGGTCGAGAACCCACCACTGGAGCAGAAGTCAGCGCCTATGGCTCTGAGGATAACTAACCAGGGCTGCCAACCCACCCTCTCTCACAGCACCTGCATTCACTTCCAAAGCTTACGCCTTTGGTATCGCTGCCCATCCCTACCCTCTTGTTGGGCGACTGAATAATTGTCTCTGTGTGTTCCTCTCATCCAGGTGCCATTTTGATTCTTCCCATTTTCTAAATTTGATTAAGAGTTTCCAGACTCAAACCATTGCTTGTGATTATAGTGAAAGTCCCATGTGGGCCCTGACCCTGATCTCTCCTAAGCAAGTTGGCAGTTGACTGCAGCAGGAGCAAGCCCAGCCCCTAAAGGGCTTCTCTGTATCAAGAGACACTGTTTTGACACTTGCCAGTGCTGTTTTTCACCGATGGCTGCATATCACTAGCACCAATAACCAAGGACAGAGGAGTCCTTCAAGTGAGGTCTGCTCTGGGCAGCTTTGTATTTCCGAAGTTTGCTTCTGTCTACTTTTCCATTACATCAGTAACTTAGTTTCTTAGGGCATCTCTGTTTCGGCGTCTCATACTCTTGCCTGTTGCTGGTTAGATGGCAGACTAAACAGCAATGAATCCATCAGGCAAACATTCATTGACTTCCCAGTTGGAATTACACAGAGAAGCTGAGAGAGGGGTTATCTCATTTAGAGCAGGACGAGAAAGTGAAATGGAGGACTGGAATTTTTGTTCTTTGTTGGTTTTTGACATTTTTTTTAAAGTAAAAATTCCTGATTTCTTTTAAGGGACTCACTGGCCATCTGTTGTTTGGCTTCCAGAGAGATTACAGTCAGGCTGTGATGACTAACCAAATATTTATCATATGTGTGGCTTGGCTACTGGCATACAAACTTCACCTTAACGTCGTCTGCTTTTCCAGGCAGTAAAGGCTAGATCCTGACCTGCATTACACCAGTGTAAGCCCTGAGTGACTCCACTGAGGGCAATTGAGTTATTCTGGATTTACATCTGTGTAGGTGAGATCACAGTCTGGCACTATATGTTTTCAGCATCACATTTTTAAACCATGTTCCAAAAAGGAAACTGGAACCCCTCCAGATGGGAGGTCTGTCCAGACACTAATGGCCCCTGGTATCGGCAGCTGAATTAAAACATGGATTAGCAAATCTATTTGATTTGATTTTTTTATTTGTAAAAAGGGGGCTAAAGGACTGATGGGGATATTGGGGAGATGATTCTTTACCTGGAATGGGATTTGGACTTGTTGAGAGCTTTGCTAATGGCAGAAGAGGTGGAGCGTCTCCTTTGGACTATGGGCTTCATTTTCTGTGGGAGAAAGATATATTCCAGTTAGTGTAACCAGCACCCGCTCTGCACTCAGTTTACCACTGCAGCTCTGTTTATTGCCTTCTGCTTTTTTATATGCAATTTCTTTTTTATAGTTACCACTCACTGACCCTAGACATAGAAAGCAACACGAATTGTGCTTCCACTGAAGTTTCACTTCCTTTCCTTGCTATTCAAACATTCGTCAGTTTTCACATTTACTCAAGAGATTCAAGATTTTCCTAACTGGAAATATATCCAGTTTTCACAGCCAAAAATCAAAGTGAGTAAGAGTAATGGGCTGAAATAGAGCAGAGGAGAATTTAGGCTGAATATCAGGAAAAACTACCTAACATTCATGTCTAGTAGACAGTGGAACAGTCAAGTAAGAGAAATTATGGAGACCCCATTTGAAACTGGACTGGACAAAGCCATGGAGAGTATATAGGGAGCAATCATTTATTGGCTGGAGGGTTGGATGAGATTACCTAATAAGTCTCCTCTATCTCTAATTTCTATGATTCATGGATTCAGCATACAGCCTATTATTAACACCCCTAAGAGTGTGTCTCTCTTCGGAACACTCATCATTTTTAATTGTCTGAACCAGAGAAATCTTATCTGCCATGTGAATGAAGTGACTATAATGATGATCCTTGTCAGTTTGAAGGGTAAGGCCTCCAGTGAATGTGTGTGTGTGGAGGGGGTGGGGGTGGAGGGGGGACAGGTCTTTTATTTTTTCAATACATTTTGTGCTGGGGAAAGATGCCAGTTTTCCAGCCTGGTGACAAATCCTGGAATCATTAATACTACTTGCGGAGTAAAGCACTACTAACTGAGAATAAGGGTGGCAGAAAAAGTTACCCTAAACAGCTCAGCACCTCTATTTCCAGCTTTAAGAACCCAGTAGCAGAGAGTATGTTGAGAATTATAAATCATGGGACATCGACATGGGTGGGATGTTCAATTAGAGAGGGAGTATTCCTTCTCTAATGGAACATTCCACCAGAAGGACCACTAATGTCCCTACCATTCATGAGGTCAGCCAGGGATAAGCTGGTTATCAGGGAAAGACGCCTCTAAGCTCATTGAAACACTTGCTCTCTTTTCTTGATAACACTCTTTTTGAGAATGCAGGGGAAAGTAAGTTTTTACCCTCCTTGTTTTATATAATAAAATAATAAAATAAATAATAATAACAATAAAAAAGCATATTTATTTGTATAGAGCCAAAAGCTTGTTAGCTGTTTTGCAGTCATGTAGGATGACAAGGTTCCTGCCCCCAAAGAGGTAGAAATTTAAATACAATCTGAATACACTGCATGGTCTTCCTCAAGAAGGCACCTTTTATTATCTGTCTAGTGTCTAAACTATGCTCATCACCATGGTAACTGAACTCCTTTCCTTTTCCTGTAATCCCTGCCTCATTCACCACACACCTTTCATCATCTACAACAAATGAGGTGGGGAGTCCTGCAGATGAAAGTCTCCTTTACTTCACAACCCCGATTCACCCCCCCAGAGCAGGTCCATCCTGTGCACTGAATAAAGCAGGGGTCCTGTGGAAAAAATAGCGTGTGATCATGTAACTAAAGACTGGATCATAATGCATATGCACAAGGGGGCTGAATTAAGGTTGCCCAGGCAAACTTAATTCAGGTATTTCCTAACTTTCAAGTGTGTATATATATATCATTATTAAGGTTGCAAGGTCAAACACTTGCAAATATATATATATATATACCTCCCCCTTTCCCCTGATGTGACTCTGCTAAGCAAAGAACCATTTCTGTCCTAAGGAGTTTCACAGAGGGAACTGAATAAAAATAACATCAGCTCAAAAATGTTTGTTTAAAAAAAGAAGAGGCCATGCTGAGAGGGAACATCTGGCTTTCAGAGGTACCCCAGTGGGATAAAATGTTCTTACAAAACATGATACAGTAAAGCAGCAGTCATGCAGCATCTTAGGGAGGGGAGACCAGGGTTGGGGGTGGGCTTCAGCAGTCTTCAGTTAGAGATGTGACTAGAGTTAATGCAGTAGAGCAGGGGTGGCCAACCTGAGCCTGAGAAGGAGCCAGAATTTACCAATGTACATTGCCACAGTAATACGTCAGCAGCCCCCCCCCCATCAGCTCCCACCCCTGCTTGCAGCGCCGCCCGCCCACCAGCAGCCCCGCTGATCAGTGCCTCCCCCTCCCTCCCTGCACCTCCCTATCAGCTGTTTCATGGCATGCAGGAGGCTCTGGGGGAGGGGGCGGAGCGAGGGCACTGCAGGCTCAGGTGCCCCCCCAGCCCATTGCAAAGCTGGCACCTGTAGCTCCAGCCCCGGAGTCGTTGCCTATACAAGGAGCTGCATATTAACTTCTGAAGAGCCGCAAGTGGCTCTGGAGCCACAGGTTGGCCACCCCTGCAGTAGAGCATCTGCGAAGAGTTGATGCATATAGCCAACACTGGGGCAGGGAGACTAATGTATCACCTAAAACTGTTTTAATAATATTATATGCACCTGGCCCCTTTCAGCCCCCCAAAATCTCAAAGCACATTACAAGCCACCGGTATGTAAAGGAATCACCTTCCACTGAAGTGCAGTCTCATCTGTGGCATAATGTGGCAGCTAGGGTGACCAGATGTCCCAATTTTATAGGGACAGTGCCGATTTTTGGGTCTTTTTCTTATATAGGTTCCTATTACCCCCCACCCCCTGTCCCGATTTTTAACATTTGCTGTCTGGTCACCCTAGTGGCAGCTGTTTAGCAGTGCATATCAACACCACACAGGATAGACAGTGTGGAAGGATGTCTTACCTCAATTAAAGTTCAGGCAGTCTGAATGTAATTACCCAAAGTGGAGTGTGGCCAGAATCCTTGGGAATAGCACTGTGGGTTTTTGGATAACCATAAATGGTTTTATATCTTATCTGAACACTGGCAACTCCAGCAGCACAGCAGTCTCAGAAGCATTGGATCCATATTGACTTAGCAGGAAGAGCATAACTGAACAATTCATTGACATCACTCCCAGCAGCAAGTAGGTTACTTGTGGAAGTCTCAAATCCATGAAGTGGCCAGGCTTAATCTGAGGTGTTATGGCTACAAGAGGATATGTCTCTCACTCACTGACTTCAGACAAAATCCTTTTGCTGTATTGAAGTTGTTTTATTTGGGTCAGGCTCTAATTCAATAAAGAAAAGGTAGTCTGGATTGGAAATCCATTTGAGATACAATGCTGGCTCTTGGCAAACTAGAAAAATCTCTTTCCCAACCCTATACCAGAGTCACAAATTATTTTGCTGCCCTAGCCAATCACCTGTTCTGCTTCTAATAGCATTATCCAAACACCACAATAAGATGGTACAATGGGCAATCTGCCAGGGGCATAGGAGGTGGACCTAACTGGGATAACTTTAGAAATATTTATGCTTTGGCTCTTATCTTCCTTGCTAGATGGAAAGAAATTACTGTTCAGTAGCAATATACTATAAACCTACAACTGTTCAGCTTTTCCTCTCCTTCCAGAGAGCACCGGGCTGTGCATCCCATTTTAAGGTGCATCAGGCTATACCTAGGGTAATGTTTTGACTATCTCTGGTTTATAAGGGAAAGACATCTTTGCTAATGCAATCCTCAAGAGGCTATCAGACATGGAAATAAGTCTCATAACTCCTTGGATATTCTTCCAGTGATGCACTCCCATGTGCAAAAAGTGCTCCGGACACTGCTTGTTTCTGGAGATCATTATGCAATCCTCATCTGGCATTTGTCAACTCCTGGAATTCTGGACTGAGCTTCTAGGAGGTCCTACCCTATGGACTACAACATAATGGCTACCAGAGCCCTCTGACCCCATTTACCAGCATGCTTGGAGTCCAAGTAGGAACAGAATGGACTAGAAACTTCTGCTGAGGCCAATTGGAGGCTTCTACATGGGGTGATATAGCAAAGCAGTTTGCTGGGTCAGTGATGAGCCAGGGCTGCTCAGCCCCTTCAGTGTGAGGGAACAGCCTGACTCGGAGACAAAGAGACTAAGGCTTGGTCTACACTTACCCCCCAATTCGAACTAAGGTACGCAACTTCAGCTACGTGAATAACGTAGCTGAAGTCGACGTACCTTAGTTCGAACTTACCTCGGTCCACACGCGGCAGGCAGGCTCCCCCGTTGACGCCGCGGTACTCCTCTCGTATAGCTGGAGTACCGCAGTCGACGGCGATCACTTCCTGGTTCGACTTATCGCGTCCAGACAAGACGCGATAAGTCGAACCCAGAACTTCGATTCCCAGCCGCCGAACTAGCGGCTGGGTGTAGACATACCCTAAGAGACGCAGTTTAGTTTCAGTTTTAAGCTTTGAGTAATTGGGAGCTGAGGGTATGTCTACACTACGAAATTAGGTCGATTTTATAAAAGTCGATTTTTTAGAATTCGATTTTATACAGTCTATTGCATATGTCCACACTAAGCGCATTAAGTCGGCGGAGTGCGTCCTCACTACCGGGGCTAGCATCGACTTACAGAGCGGTGCACTGTGGGTAGCTATCCCACAGTTCCCGCAGTCTCTGCTGCCCATTGGAATTCTGGGTTAAGTGCCCAATGCCTGATGGGGCAAAAACTTTGTCCCGGGTGGTTTTGGGTACATGTCATCAGGCCCCTCTCCCTCCCTCCTTCTGTGAAAGCAACGGCAGACAATTGTTTCACGCCTTTTTTCTGGGGTCCCGTCCACTGGACCCGCTCAGCTCACTGCCTGCCTGGATGATCAGAACCCCAGGCAGGCAGCGGGCTGAGCGGGGCTGGCAGACAGAGCCCCAGACCGGCGGTGGACTGAGCGGCTTAGCCTGCTGCCGGTCTGGGGCTCCGTCCGCCGGCTCCTGCCAGCCGGGGTCTTGCTCAGCCCCGCTCAGCTGGCAGACCTCGGTGAGGTTGATCAGGGGGTGCCTGGACAGACATGGCTATCCTCCTCTTAGAGCACCGCATGGGAGTGACTCCAGGTCATTCTCTTCTTTAAGTT